TTTATATGTTCACTATATTTATCTTATTATCAGTGGAAGTGTTGTTGAAATATATTGTTCGTCCGATTATTTGTTTATTGAGATATTGAGTAACAAATAGTTAACATTTAATAATTTGAGAGTATTTAGTCCCTAAAAATTAAGTTATATTATTTTGACTATCATGTACATTGTACAGTATATTTATTGTGTAAATGCAGGGGTCGGTCAGGACTTGAATTTTGATGAATGAACTGAAAATGAATTCATATTTATGGCCATAAAATAACAAAGAGTTTGGGTTTTGATGTCTTATAAGACTGTTTGAGGCGCCAGTCCTTCAGTCCTTAAAGGAGAGCTAAAACATAGATTTGTTCACAAATTGTTCACTGTTTTAGCGCCTGTTGGGAACGATGCCAAGAGATTAATGTAGTAACGGTTCTCAGCCATCCCTCTCCCCTTTATTCCCAAAGTCATTGGAAAGGACTGAGGACTGGCAGCTGACATGAGTTGCGCTCATAGACTCAGATGTTGTACAGACAGAGAGGTCTTTTACAGCAGATCTTTGCTCACAAACGCGGCATTGATTTGACTTATGCTCTCAATTATAATAAATAGTATTCAATTTATTGGGAAATGAGTGCATAGAAAGTGACAATTAATGGGAATATGTTTTCCAATTAAACTATTTTACAATTGAATGCCATATAATGTCATTGATCTTCTATTGTCTGTTCAGCACATGTGAACGTTATGTCTAAAACTTATTTACTATTATTATTTAATTTTACAACTCAGGAGAGAGAGAGAGAGAGAGGGAGAGAGAGAGAGAGAAGAGGCTATTTTTGAAAACAGTCTGTTATGGCTCGAGTGTATTGACGGAACTGTAGCTTTGGGTTAAGTTTTTGTGGTACAGTAATGACATTCATATAAAGCCGTGTATTGAATGTATGTTTGCATCAATAGATGTATAGATGTTAGGCATTCCTGCACTGAATTGACTGAATCGACATTTCCAGACATTATTATAAGCATTTGCACAAAAGGTTGGGTTCGCACAGACGGACGGCCTTAACACAGAGGAGAAGGTGAACGCAAACCCCTTAGGTTTTCCTCTTTTTCTTTTATTTGCCATAAAAAGACAATTCAAAAAAGTGTAGTCGACTTGAGAGAGAGAGAGAGAGAGAGAGCGAGGGAAAGGGAGATAGAGAGAGGCATTGGAGAGCAATGGAGGGCACAGACACCTGCCTATGACTCTTGTACTCCAGTTATCAATAGTGTACTCCTTATCGAAAATATCGTGAAGGTATGGGTAGTCGGAGTAGAGTCGGGGATAACCCGATGCCTTGACATAAGGCCGGAAGTATGCAAAGAATATTATTTCTCACGAATTGAGACTTGTATTGAATTCTTACTTCTATTCATAATATGTGAGAGAAATGTTTGGTAAAAACAGTTTCGTATGATTTTTATACCCTTTCCCCTCACAGGCCTGGGCTCAGAATAGCTCCTATGAGAGAGAGAGGTTTCCCAGTTTCTTATTTTTGCTTTCAGATTACAATACATTCACATAACTTATATGTTTGTCTCTTTTCGTGTCTCTCATAACTTATATGCTTTATATTTAGCTTATTATTGATAAAGTGTTTTATATATTGGACTCGACTTAATGCCAAACGCTGGCAATGGGTGTGCGTTGAGTTGGCTGTCTTTCCCTGTTTTGCTGTATTTCTTCACCCAATAATTGAATTGAAAGAAACACAAGACAAACATTTATACCATATTATGGCATATAATTTAATTTCAAATATATTCCAATCAATATCAGAATTAATTTGCTGCTTATTATACTGCATATGATGTCTCAAATGAACACTAAAATACCATTATTTTGTCAGATATTAACTCTCTCTTACATAATACTTATGCAGCAAATGCCTTAAGTCTTAGCAAATATTGTACCCGATATTAATAATTTACACGTTTAGACACTAATGTCGGGTCAGCCCTTCACCACTTATTCTCATAAGTTTGCAATAAAAGCGAAATAATAGAAACTCTTTTCTAAAGATTGAATTAAAAGAAAAAATGTTAAACCCTTTGGTGTAACAAAAGTAATTATTTTTACAAAATTTTGTATAATAAATACTGTGTATTATATAATAATATTTTCTTAACAATAGTCTTCCGTAGAATAACATTTTATCCCAGATTTGGAAAATAGGAAACTTTTTTCTCTCTCTATTTAAATATTATGTTGAAAACGAATTTTGAGTAAAATTGATAAAAACAGATTTATTTAATAAATCTGTTGAACTCCACTGTAAATCATCTGTTGTTTAAAAATTTTGTTTTAAAATACTTTTTACTCTTTTATATAAAATATTATGTCATAAATCTATGCAATAAAATATTTATCCAAAACAGCGAGAGAAGTCTGAATGAAAAGGTTTTTCCACAAAATTATTGAATTTATCGATTCGTTTAATAATAATAATATTTGAAAAGATTTTAACGAGAGTTGTCTGACTGACTGATGAGAAATTTAGCACAACTTTTCAATCAAAATATAAATATGTGACGCTTTTTGCCCCTCTATTAGTGATTCAATGATTACATTAGAGAAATACATGAATACTTTTCTCTGCTTTTTAATGACTCAAATGTCTTTAAAATTTCATATAAAAAATATATGAAAAAGTGTTTAAAAAAATTTATTATATAATTTAAGGAAGTTTTTCACATAATCTTATTTATTCTGTCGTCAAACCATTAGTTTAAACATTATTTAATAAGTTGTATGAGAGATGTCTTATAAAATATGTCTTTTGCTAAAAGAGTTCAATATATTGTATTTCTATCACTAGTTTTATAATCATATCTAAAAAACTGTTTGTTTACACAATTAAAGTCCAATTGGGCTTAAAATGGAAATTGGTATTAATATTTGTATGAAATGCATTCAATTAATTAGTGTTAGTTTTATGTATTAATGGATGACTTTTTTCTATATCTTAATGAGTGGGTGAAAGAGGGAGAGGGATATTATGGTAACGGTATGTGTAGTAGAGTATAGCTAACGGTGCTCTATAGCTGTTAGGTCTATGGAGTGCAGGAACGGTAGGATTGGAGGAGTAGTTCCGCCAAATGCACACATATTCACACATTTAAATGATATGTGAGTTAAGCCTTGCCTGCGGACACATCACTGAATCACAACTAATTGCTGTAATACCAGTGCTTTCTGGTCGGTGCGGCTCATAGTCATAGTGATAGTCAAACTCAATAAAGTGATAATACAGTAGAGATGGTAGTTATGGTGCATATTGTTGTGCATTAAGTGTTATGGCATTGGCAGGGAAGGTATGATATGGTAAGGTATGGTATGGTATGGCATGGAATGGCTGTATTTCACTCGAATACCTCATTCAATGACCCACCGACACGAACATAGCAGGCATAGGCATATACAGCCAAACAGGTACATCCCCTGCTTGTCTTCCGGGTTGGGAAATGGGTCACAACATCACAACACGTCATTGTGCTGAACAGCTAACAGCCCAGAGTTCGCTGACCTACTCCTCACAACCAACTCTGCCTACTCTGCCTGCGCTCACACACCGACTCCCAGCCCTACGCGCATCTGTTCCCTACCAACACATCCAACACCACAATCATAGCAATCCTACAAATACTACTCTTATAGATATCATATCATATGATATACGCATACTTTACCACAACTGTATATATTGTATACATACATAGTATATGCCAAACATATACTCTTCCCGAGTAATAGACTTAACGTGTCGTATGAATGACGTAACGCCCGGAGCTGTGATGGAGTGATCCCTCTTGAGTTGGACTCTAACCACTGCCACAACGCTTCGTGTCTTTCCCATACATCCACTCAACCCTATCCATCCCTATCCCTACTGTTTACTTGTATTGACACTATCCATACCCTGCAACACAACAGTCATTGCAAACCATGCAATCTATGTCTCATTACTGCATCAAAGCCTATATTAATAAACAATTCTTTATTACCGAATCCAATGCATGGCTTATGCATGAGATAGCCATCGATGCATCGATCCATTCATTCATCCATTTATACCAGATTTCTAATTATTTTGCAATTCATTACATACAGTAATATGGTTTAAGAAGTCAAACAAATTTATCAGACACTTGAATATTAATTAAAGTCTGAGCCAATTATATAAAAACTTATTTTGCATTCATTTACACTTTTAAAAAATTCAAATGAATAAAATTTATTAATAAATTTTTATAGGAATAAAATAAAAACTAAGGAAATATTGAATTTACTGAACGCAGATGCATTCACTACTGTTGTAAATGCATAATAACATCAAACTTGTGATACAATTCTGGATATTTTGACTCAGAATTGTAATGAACAATATTATTATATATTAATTGCTTTAAACTGAAACTAAAAATACTATAAATTTTTATATATCTTTTACACAACATTCAGTAATAGCTAAATATGTGTGTTTCGGCGCACATATTATAAATATTTTTCATACAATTCATAGCGTTTTGAGAAATCAATAATTATTCAAATAATTTCTTTTGAAAAACTAATTCCAGTAATGAAAATACAGTTATTGTTTTGATAGGTTAGTGTCAGTCCCACTCCGGGTATGTCTGACCAATAATTGACAGCACATTTGTCATAGACTTGGATTTTATTTGTTTAGAATTAAATATAGCTTCAGGTTAAAAGTTTAAAAATAAGGATCTATTCTGTACTCATATACTATACTATACTCAGAATAAATATAATACTCAACACTGTATTGGACTGGGATTCCGGAGCTTTTAATAGCAGTCAGTGGTGCTCTTCACTCAATAGCCAATGAATCAGTGAATGAGAGAACCGAGTGTTTCATTCAACTTAACACTACTCTTAACTCTTGTGTCAAAAATTGTTGTTTCAATTCCGAGAAAACTTATAGTTTTTGATTGCATTTCCAATGTATGTGATGGATGTCTTGAGTTTAATCAATGAGTTCGACCCTCGCATCTCACACTATCCCAACTCTTTTGGTCCCATTAAAGGTTTCATTCATACGATTCACCATTTATTTGACAACTTTTCACATATTTTGCATTTAAAATACATATTTATTTGCCATACATTTGTGTTGAGAAAAATTGAGAAACTATTGAAAATGATGTTTTTGTTGGAAGTTTTAAATGACATTTTGTTTATCTTATAATTATAGCACAAATTGAAATAATTCCGTGTAAAGTATGTGGCGATAAGTCATCGGGAGTTCATTACGGCGTTATAACATGTGAGGGCTGTAAGGTATGTGACCTATGAATGAAATTGATATCTAATTACTACTGCATTAATGAGCGCTTAGTTGATCGCTAATTAATAAAATCAAATTTTGTTGACCATTTGTAGGGGTTTTTCAGAAGAAGTCAGTCGAGTGTTGTTAACTACCAGTGCCCGCGACAGAAGAATTGTGTGGTCGACAGAGTGAATAGGAATAGATGTCAATACTGCAGATTACAGAAGTGTCTGGCGCTGGGTATGTCGAGGGATGGTATGTATTCATAGAGTTATATCTAATTCCTGTTATCGTCTCACTTTCGCAACGGATGACACAATTGTGTATTATTTCATATAATACTCAATGAAGTGATTGTTAACTGTATAAACAGTATTATATTATGTCTCATGTCTAATGTGAATGCATTTAATGGTAAACAGCCGTCAAATTCGGGCGAATGTCTAAAAAGCAAAGGGAAAAGGTTGAGGACGAGGTCCGGTTCCATAGGGCACAACTGGTGCGCCCACCCGGACAGACGAGCAATGGTGGTCAACCGCCCACCCCTACCACTGTGCCCTCGTCCTACCCCTCACAGACATCATCCGAAACATCTCCCGACAGCTCTGTTCTCGAGCAACAGCCACAACAGCCGTCCTCCTCGAGCCAACACGTGCCCTACAATGCCATCACCAATGGGTATGTTATGCATGTTATGGTCATCACTATTGTCGTCAAGTCTCGAGTTTTATCCCAAAAAAACTGAAAACTGATAATTAGTTCACAAATGATAGTAAAATAGGAATCAATAAAAAACTATTTGTTTATAGATTTCCGTAATTGTCGGCAAATATTGTTTTAAAAAAGTTTTTTAGTTTAGTTTTATAAATACAATTCAGGACACGAGAGATAATATTGTGATTAAATATTTAAATACAATCCTTCCTATTAGCGAAGACAACAGTTATTTATCATGTCCTGTCGAAACAGTATTTTGTTTTCTCATCATTTGTTTTACATTTCGATATCAAAACATTAGGCATTTATTTAAAGCTTAAGATTAACTGAAAAGCAAAACAAATCACAGCAAAGTTAAAAGCAAATGCGAGACTCAGCCGTATATATAGCTTTTACATATGTGTGTAATGCGTGTATTCATATATATCCGGGTTATTTAAATATAGGTACACGCCGTACAACAACGGTGACCTCAATGTATATGCAGAGAAGTACACGCCCTCTGTGTATACCTATACACCGCAAGGGATGGCAACGTTTGACCTCTCGGCCACCACTACTGACTTCGTCGACAGCACCACTTTCGAGCAACAGAGACAACCCATCGACTCCCTGCCCGACACCAACGGACTCCTCTCCACCACCGTCTCGCCCAACGCTATCATCAATAATTCACACTTAGGTCTCATAGAGTGTCCAAATCTTAATCCATAGAGAAATCCATCTCTCTTACCCTCTATTATCCATTTTCCCATTTCTCTAATCTATTTCCGTATCCGTTATCTAAAAGTCGTTAAAATCGCAAACAATTTCAAATGCAATTCATTTATCAATTCATTTCATATGAAACAGAATTATTGGCCAAAACTGTGTCTGAAGCTCACGCGAGAACCTGTTTGTACACAACTGAACAAATCGTTGATATGATGCGCAAACCCAACGACCAAAGTAGGATCATATACTTGAAGAATCTGGTCAGTCCTCGCACACAACCTCTCAGTTTAATTAGATTTTAATTAATTAATTAAATCTCGAAACCCGATTGCAGTCACACGAAGACCTATGGCTTGAATGTGCTTCAAGACTAACGAACGTTATTCAGCAGATCATAGAGTTCGCCAAAATGGTGCCCGGATTCATGAAGTTATCTCAAGACGACCAGATTGTTCTCCTCAAAGCCGGTCTGTAGATCTCTTTCATCCATTCATTTGATGACAAGATTTTTAACTCGTTTTTATTGCTCCCAAAATAACAGGAAGTTTTGAGTTATGCTGTCTTCGGATGAGTCGATACTTTGATTTATCCACAAAACAAGTGCTGTTTGGCGACGGACTTATGCCAAGGGATGCATTCCTTACACAAGGTATGAGACATATCATTGAGATACCTGTGCAACACTTGCACTATTGCCTGTTGACCACATAATGAACTCATTTTGTGATTTGATTTATGTATGACTTTGAAGCGGATATAACTGAATCAAAATTAGTGAACCAATCGTTTGATTTGGCGGAAAGTATAGCTGACTTGAAACTCACGGAATCAGAGTTAGCGCTGTTCTCTGCGTACGCCTTAATATCTCCCGGTTTGTAGACTCTGTCATACAATTTGTTTTCATTTTTATGCCATTACTAACGGTATGTTTGTTTTTGGTGTTGCCGTACAGACCGTCACGGCTTGAAAGGCATTGTCGACATTCAACGTCTCAATCAAGCGATTGTCAAAGCGTTAAGGTTTGAGTTGAGTCGGACTCACATGAAGCCATTCAAAGGAGATGTCAGTGTTTTCGATGTCCTCATAACGAAGATCCCGCAGTTGCGAGAGTTAAATATGCTTCACATGGAGGCGCTCTCGAAATTCCGACGCGCGTCACCTCACATGGAGTTCCCACCCCTACATAAAGAACTGTTTTCCATTGATATCTAAATATTACTTATAAAAGTTTTCATATTTTGCACAAATATTTATGTTATTTGTACAGTATATGATTATTTAATAGTAACGAATATAATTTATTTAAATATTTAGATCAAATAAATGACAAAATTTGCAAAAAATCAAATTTAATCAAATGATACACAAATAAAACGCATGAGTTTTCATATCCATCACCAGTTTTTAATGCTTTTCATTTTTTATATACGGAAATGAGTATAACGTACAGAGAGAATGATTTTTATATAATAATTAGTGTCTAAAAAAGTTATGGATTTTTCACTGAAAAATTCTCTATATTTTGTTGTTTTATATAAAGTTTTCATAATCATTCAATTGTTAAAAGCGATAAAAAGACAATTCTGTTTGTGTTTTCAAAACTTGAATCTATTATAAAGATATAAAGCAAACATCAAATCAATCAATAATATTCATATAATAATGATTATTATCATCACATAATGTCATCACTCTTTAGTTTTCATTCATTTAATTATCGCCTTTTCATTAATTTTAGTCTTTTTTACAAAATGTTTTATCTTTCAATTTAAGGCGATTCTTATCAACGTTTTTAGAAATATTTATAATAATATACTCGTATTTGAACCCAATATTCACAAATACTGTATTACAAAAAACAATTACTTCAAAGTTATCATAAATTAGTGATAAAAGTGGAAAATGATGTCTAAATTCTGATCTCAATTCTCAAATATATTGTACTCTGAGTTGTGTCTGTACTGTACTGTCAGTGAACCTGAAATCGCTACAAAAATAAACCAATTGACATAATCTCCAGAAGTGTTTGCTTTGATTTCTGTAAAAATTCTTCTCTTTTATCACTAATCGAGAGAACAAACCGTATAACTCGTCATGAAGTTAACGATTCATACAAATAAAACTTATGTCTCAACAAATGTCTTTTGAAAATAAATTCTTTAATAAAATGCAAATTTTAAATCAAACAAAAAATAAAAGTTAATAAATAAGAAATATTTCATAATGTGTACTAAAAAGTCAATTATCATATAATGTAATAATTCATGTGATGGCAGTTAATAACCAAATGATGGCAAAGAATTTGTTGAGAATAAGAGATATTTATATAATAAACAAAAAGTCATTTAAAACTAATTCAACAATATTTGTGATCTGTTTGTCAATAGTTTTGTCAAAGAAATAATTAACAAAGTTTACTAATTATATAATATATTTCCATATAATATATATTTCAATCTCAAAGTAAATCCTTTAAAATTGAAAACAAATCTCATGTAATGGTTAGCGAAGAATAACAGAATTTTTATCATTTATGGCATTAATTTATAGAAAAACATTTAAATTAAATTAAATTTACAATTTCATTAAAGTCTTATCAAATCTTTTCATTTAAATCTTTTAACTCTCTTTACAATAATTTGTTTTTATATTTAAATATTAGTTATAATTTACATAAATATGTGAACTTTAAACCATAGAGTGCTTGAAACTATTTGTGAGATTCAGTCGTTGCGCTAATAATAACTGCTTTTGAATTCTTCAGCAACAATTCTTCCCTAAGTCTTAATGAATAGCAAAATGTGTTTTGAGTTAAAACTTTTGTACAAAAGGCACTAATTTGTAAATCGTAAGAAAAACATGCATTCAATGCCTAAATCTAAATAACAAATTAATTTGATTTCGAGTTAAAGGCCGGATTCGATTCCTTTGTAATTATAAGTCTATCAAATTGCTAACAAATCATGTAATTAATAGATGGAAAGATAGCACACAGTCTACGGTTTCAGTTCAATGGGATTTATGTAACTTATTATCCTTTCAAACAATAATCAAAAATTGGAAATATTTTATGTTTTAAATATTAAGTGTATGTCTGAAAATTGCCCTAAACTTCAACTTTTATAATTAGATGTAATTCTCTGTACAGTTATGTATAAAACAATGAGAACTTGAGATGAAAACGAAATATAATAAGAGATGATATAATAATTAATTAATTAACTTATATAATAATAATGACATTAAAAAGAGTTTGGATTTGAAATAAAAGGAAATTATTTATAAGAGAAACGAACAAAAAACTGATTCAAGAATAACATGAGAGAAAATATGATAATCATAAAAATTATGCAACAATTTTACAATAAAAACATATGTTTAACAGTATTGTAGTCGATGTGTCATAAATAGTGAGCAGTAGTTTCGGTACAAATATTTTACTTGTATTTTCATTAATAATCTTTTGTCTCGTTTTCAGCACTTCTTAACCATTATTTCAATTCTTGTCTCTCTCTTCCGCATCACTTGTGTGTAAAACATGTATTCAAACACTTTTTCAATACAAACAACAGATTAATAAATCTCTAAATAACGCAAACTAACGCTTTGTCCCAAATATTTTTGTATAATTTATTTGTTTGTGTTTTAAATTAGAATTAAATATCAATAATAATATATTTTTAATACCCAATCCATCGTTTGCTTCAAATAACAATTGAAATTTTGTCAAAGTTTTCATTGTTTTTGTCTTAATGTTGAATATGAACTAATGATTTGTGAATTAATGTACGAATTAAACAGTGATTAATATTATAGTTATGATGACTGACAGAAAAATGTGAAACAAATTTAGTTTGAAATAGAGTTAGAAGAGAAATAAATGTTATTACAATTCATTAATATATACCTTATATTCATAATTATATAATAATAATGTTGTTTTACATTCAGAGCCAATATTAAGAAATTTCTTATTTGTTTCTCAAATTAAAAATTAATATCAATTAATAGATTAGCGAAAAAACTAAAACATCTAAAAATGAAGTTTTTATGTTTTTAAAATTTGCACACATTTTCGTAATCAATAAAAATGTAATTACATTTGAATTCGTGTGACGCTAATAAAAAATGTTATGAATTCATACAAAAAACTAAAAGTATTATTAAATAAAAGATTTGTTATCATAATTGTCATTAAATAATCTAAATATTGTAAAGAGTAGTATCAAAGTATTCAAAGCGCAGCAGATTTTACTCAATATGTCAAATGTATACATATTTCATATTTGTTTGTATTCTCAATATATAATTCTTTAAATTTAATTTATTTACTTTTTATATCACACAATACTGAGGTCTATATTTATATATATAATCTTTGTTTAAATCTTAAATATAATATTTATAATATAAAAAAGACTTAATTACTTTATTAAATATAATTTAAAAAGTAAGTAACCCATATGTAAAATGAATTAATCATTTTGACATAAATTTGAATTAAATTTATATCGAGAACAATATTTAAATCTTTCTTTTTGGTAAATTCCAAAACTCAACCCTCAAATCAAAGCTCAGTCTAATTACTGGTATAATAGTATAAATGCTTCGGAAGTTTTTTGTTTGTCTAAAAGTCTTTTAAAAAATTGTTTATAAATTAATGTTTGAAACGAAAGTATAATTAAATGAGAATCAAATTGAGAGGAGAGGAGAGCGGACCAGAAGTTCACTCGATTTCATCATAAAAAAGTTCAATTAATTAAACCAAAACTCATATAAAACTGAGGAATCATAAGATGAACGAAGCGCTCGGATTGTAACTGAATGGTTGAGTTTGCGGTTGTTTTTAGTAAAAATCAAATTAAGTTTAAATTCTTAATGAAGGCAGTGATGCATCAAATGAATTGAATCTGAGTTTGAATCCAATGATTATTCAATATTTAGATATCAATGGAAAACAGTTCTTTATGTAGGGGTGGGAACTCCATGTGAGGTGACGCGCGTCGGAATTTCGAGAGCGCCTCCATGTGAAGCATATTTAACTCTCGCAACTGCGGGATCT